CTGTATATTCTCTTCTATAGGCTAAATACCTCCAATTCCTTTACTCACTTAAGTACTAACTGATTAAATTGCTTTATTCAAGTTTCTGAGAAAGAGGTGGCTCTTCTCCTTGCCAAAGCCAACCTCTTTATTTAATCCCTTGAACTCAATCTCTCCAGACTCTTCCCGGTAGCTTCTCAGTTATTCAATTCCCCCTCCTCACCACACATACACTCAATAGGTCCCTATATCTGTGGCCTCCTTCCCTAGTGCCTACAAATGCCCTTAAGTCTATCCCACCCTAGAAAAACTCTCACTTAACCCTTCAAGCTGTTGCCCTATATTTTCTCCTCCCTTTCACTGTCAGAGTCCTAGAAAGAGAAATCTGTATTAACTGCATCTACTTTCCCTCCCACTATTTTCTCTTCCCCTTGTTATCTAGCTTCCAACCCAATCACTCTATTGAAAAGGCCCTCTCCACAGTTACCAATGATCTTCTAAATGCTCAATCTGATGGCCTCTTCTTAATTTTCACCATCCTTTACCTGAGTGTCTCTCCTCCAGGACACTTCCTTAGTTTTTATGTTATTGTTCTCTTCTGGTTCTTCTACATTTGACTATTCCTTGTCAGTCTCCCCTGTTAGATTATCATCCAACTCCCTGGACCCTCTTCTCCTGGTGAGAGAATTTTCTTCCAAAGATTCAACTATCGTTTCTATGCAGATGACTACCAGCCCTACTCTCTCTCATGAATTCCATTTCTTAAATTTAACTGCTTGCTGGACATTTCCTGAACATCTCACAGACATTTTAAATTCAACATGTCCAAAACAGAGCTAATTATTTTTCCCCCATCCCTATCCCACCCCCAAACCTGCCCCTTATCCAAACTTCCCTATGTCTGTTGAGGATACCACCATTCTCCCAGTCACCCAGGTTTGTAACCTTGGAGTCATCCTTGAGAGGCAGCATGGCGTAGTGGAGAGAGCGCTGGACTTGGAGTCAGGAAGACCTGGGTTCGAATCCCGCCTCAGACACTTACTAGCTGTGTGACCCTGGACAAGTCACTTAACCTCTCTCAGCCTCAGTTTCCTCATCTGTAAAATGGAGATAATAATACCTGTAGCACTTACCTCACAGAGCTGATGTGAGGATCAAATGAGATAATGTATATAAAATCTTTTGCATACCTTAACGGGCTATATAAATTTCATTAGTTGTTATTATCCCCTTTCCCTCACCCCCATATCCAATCAGATATCAAGTCTCATTGAGTTTACACCTTCATGACTTCTTTTATCTGTCCTCTGATCTACTCAAAGCCTTCAAGACTAGTTCTGGCCTCATTACTTTTAGCTTGGACTACTATAATAGCTTCTTAATTGGTTTCTCTGCTTCTAGTCTCTTCTCTAATCCATTCTGAAGAGTTTCCAAAATAATATTCTTAAGGCACAAAAGTATCTAACTGCTCTTGCAAAATCCTTCAGAGGCTCCCTAAAGCCTCTCTAACACAAATGCAAATGCCCCAACCTAGCATTTAAAGCACTTCACAGTCAGGTTTTGCAACTTATTTAATATTACCTTCACCTGCTTGGTTTTCTAGTACAACTGGATATTTGGCCTTTTCCTGAACTCAACATTCTCCCTCTTTCACCTCCATTCATTCGAATAGACCAGCAACATGCTCCATTCTTATCTCTTAGAATCCTTATCTTCCTTTAAAACTAATCTATGGGACCACCTCCTCTAAGAAGTCTTCCTTATTCATGTAATTGTTTATGCTCCCTCAATTTACCTTGGATTACAATTATTTTTGTACATGCTGTAGCCTTTCCCAGTAATGTAAGCTCTTTAAGGGCAGGGTCTGTTTCAATATGAAACAAAATGAAAGTGTACAGAATAGGCATTGAATACCTACTTGCTAAACTGGACTAAAATGACTCTGCTGCCAGCCATCACACCATTTGGCATTATTTATTTACATAAAGCAGTCTCTGAAAAGCATGGGTGTGATGACAGCAATACATAAAAATAGCCATTAGTGTAGTAATTGTCTTTTCCCTTCTTTTCATGTGTAAGTCAATCCTTGAGTTTTTAATGCTTCCCAAATTAGAGTGCTAAGTATGAAGACTACTGGTACAATGTGAGCTCATTTTGCCTTTAGTTCTTACAAAAAGGCAAGGAGATAGTTTCTGAATTTTGTGCTTCTTTAGAAGCAACTTAAAACTTACCTTTTAATAATGCAGAATGTGCAACAATGAAAATCATCTCTTTATGAACACCCACAGTTTAAGTAGCCTCTCCCTGGGGCTCATGAAGATATTCCTTAACACTGAACATACATATATGGACTATCTGCAACATACAAGGGGCTGTGCAGGATACAAAAACACAAAAACAATCCCTTGCCCTTAAAGAATGTGTAATCTAAGTCAGGAGACAAATGAACAAAAATTGAAATAGAATGATTAAATAACAATAAAAGATAAAACAAAAGGTGCCACAAAACACTATGTGATTAAATGTCAATTAACTGCTATACACATAGTAAGACTACAAGTTCAGAAGAAGGTAGGATCACCATGGGGCACAAGACCTCATGGAAGTAGAACTCAAGCTGGACCTCAAGGGATGGGAAGATTTGGAAGGGGAGAGGAAATGGTATGAATAAAGACCCAGATGAAGGAAAGCTCAAGGAATGCTCAAAGTAAAAAAAGTGAGCCAGTTTGACTTGCAGAAAGAATTCAGATCCTAGAAAACTGATCCCAGGAAGGGAAGCCGGGGTACCAGACTGTGGAAAGCTTGGAACACAAGCCGAATGCTCTGAACCAGCCTGGAGGCAACAGGAAGCTATTTAGGGAGTATGAACTTGGGAATGATATGCTGATCCAAGAAGTGATTTGGGAAATTATTCTGAAGGTAGTATATAGATGGACTGTGGTGGAGAGAGGTTAGAAACAGGAATGTCAGTTACAAATCTATTATAGTAGTGAAAGTGGGAGGGTTAGTAGCAATAGGAATGGAATGAAAGTAAGGAAGAAAAGAGACAAAAGGAAAAAAGAACAAATAAGCCTTGGTAACCAAACAGACGGGCTTAGAGAGAAGTCAAAGTTTTGCTCCTTAGTGATTAAGAGATGGACATCAGGAAGAGAAATTGATTTAGGGAGAAAATGATGAGCTTGGTTTTAGATAAGCTGAATTTAAGGTAACAACAGAATATCAAGTAGAAATGTCCAGCACTCAGTCCGGATGTGGAGCTAGAACCTGAAAGAAAAGAAAATGAAGGCTATGCCAAAATACTAACAATTAAAACCCAGGTGTTAGTTCAAGTTATTGAGGTCTCCATTTCTGGATGGTTATCAATCTCCAGTGATAGAGAGAGGAGGTAGTGATTAAGTAAGAGGGACAGAGAATAAAAGTAAGATTAGGAAGGAAAGATGGGGATAAGATTTTTCCTGAGGAAGCTAACTGGGTAAGATTTAGAAATGGGAAAGAAGGCATAACTAAAGAAAATGTAATTATTTGTGCAAGATTCACTGAAGTATAATTAACTGAACTGTGAGTAGTGAAAGGAAGAGAAAGGTGAGAATATTCTGAAGGGAGGGGGAGGAAAGGAAGAGGAAGTAATAGAAAATAGCTAGGTCAGATGACTGATTCCTATCACCAAGTGACCACATAGCCTCAGGAGAGGTTAGCCTGTCTGGAGAGCCTTGGGAATGCGTGAATTCGAGGATAAGGAGGCAATATGTAACCAAACCAAACATTTGTATTTACAGCTGAACACCTGTTAAGTATCTGTAACTTAAGAGTTGCTTTAGTTTTCAAAGAATCATAGTGATACATTAGTAAAATGTCCCTTAAAAGCTAGTCAAAAAGGACCCTTCTGGATAATTCATCCAAATAGAATGACAAACTCTTTAGGTAGGAAGTAGGATAAGTATGACTCTTCCCTACGGAAAAACAAACAAACAAACAAAAAAACCCTAGAAAAGAGAAACATATATCTATAACAAGGAATGGCCCCACAGAAAGGAAAATATGCTGGAAATAAGCAGATGTCATTTGCAAAAGCAAATTATTTACGAATCATATCCAACGAGTAAAGTGATGGTTTCCATATCTGGTTCTTAAAGGAACCTTTATAGCTCTTCAGTACCTGCCCTTTTCTCAAAGGCACCAACTGTCTCACCACCAAAACCACTAAATTCCAAGTTTTTACTTCATTACCTCATTGGACCCTGGAGAGAGATGCACCTATCAGTTTTTCTGCTTTTAACCTGTACGTTGTTTCTTCTCCAGACAAGAAAAGCAACCACAACACTGAGCCAATTTATCACCAACAGTAATATCATTTTACAGGTGTATAATGCCTTATCTGCTAAATACTTTCTCTCATCTCATTTGATCATCACGATAACTAGAAGGCAAGCCAAACTGTAGTTTCCCCATTTGACAGATGAGAAAACTGAGGAACAAAGAAGTTAAGAAAATTGGTCAAAGTTACAGAGCAGGCCAGCAGCAGAGCCAAGACCAACAAGAGCAGCAAGGCTTCCTGGCCTCTCATCCAGGGCATTTCCCCCCACATTGTACGCCACAAATGGATCAGCCAAGCACTAGACTCATATTCTATCATGAGGTACCACCACTTTTCAAAGCCTCTCTAGAAACTGAAATTATTTTTTCCATATTCAATTCTATTATGCCTAAGGTATTTTCTCCAAAGAGAGTAAAATAGTTTCTCTGCAAAAAAATAACCCTAGTGGCATTTACAAGGGAATCAATAAATTAAAGAATGCCTGTTTTCCTAAGTTCTTAAATAATCAAGATTGCCAGTCTGAAATTAGTAGACTATTCACAGAGATGTAAAGCAATTCAAAAAAACTTTTTAAGACATGACCCACCTTCTCTTTAGATATGGTGGGGGAGGGAGAATGAGATTAACCTGTTAGGGGAAAATGATCTCATGTACATAAATGAATCTTGGAATGGGAAAAAAAATTTCATTACACACAACTAGTTACCTTATGCATTTGATGCATATTATCTTGAGGATAGCCTCCAGGACCCTGAGGAGGTATAGGATGTCCTGCCGAAGGTGGGCCAGGGCTAGGGCCCATCATGCTGTGTGCAGAACCAGGTGAGGGTCCAGGACTAGGGCCCAGCATAGCACCAGGAGATGGGCCAGGCCCTGGAGAGGGTCCTGGCCGAGGTGTTCCTCCTAGGGGTGGGTCTGGAGTAGACATCTTCAAAGGAGTTGCTCAAAATAGTCTCCTACTGCCTACTGGAAAAAAAAAAAAAAAAAGCCAGGTTAGTTGGTGAGTACAGCCATTCAAGCCTTAATTCAAGAAAAAAACAGGGCTTAGCACAAAGTACCAGTATTTAGCATTAACCAACAGGGCTTGTGACTTCTGATAATTTTAAATGAAAACTAAAGAAATGTGATAAGAATTATTAAATAGAGATAAAGAATTATTAAATATAACATCAAAAAACACGACTCTTTGCCTGATGAACACTTTATCAACATATGATATAAAGTAAAATCTGTATTAACTGGAACCTTCAACTAACCAGTATGGGTTTCTTTTTTTTTTTAATTACTCCATTTTAAGGAAGAGATAGCAACTTAAAAAGAAAATGTTTACAGCAAAGATTCTTTAAAGCTTTTATTCGGCGCTACTGATGCTGAGATAGGAACTGGGACTATGATTTCACCCGTATAAGGAAGAACATCCTTTAACCACGTAGTCTTGGGGAATTTATGGAAGATTACCTAAAACAAAGGTGGGTAAAAAAGAATTACTAAAAATTCATCCAAATAAGAATATCCAATTCTTCAAGTATTTTAGTTATTTAAAACTCAGCATATATCTTTATTAGGAAAAGCACCGGGGAAAATGTTCTGTCTTAAAGGTCTGGAAAGTAGTTTTAAAGTTCAAACTACTTAATATGGGGTTGGTGGCTTTATAACAGAGGCCATTATAATGCAATAGTTCTGATTTTTAAAAATACATTGTTCAATGTTGTAGTATAAATGATAGGACTCAAATACGGAGTAATTTAGGTTAAGTGATCCTAACTGCCATAATCAGATTAGCAATGACAGACTATACTCTTCCACTGTCGTGACTCATTCTGACAGTTTCAAACATATAAATGATCCTAGCTCCTGACTGGACAAAGTTCCCAGTCACTGCAAGCATGCCAACACTCATTTCTGGGATCCCCGATTACAGATTTGGGTCCTCATCCAATTTATGGTCCTGATTAGTAAACTCACCCACTTAAATCTGGTATGGATAAATGACCCAGAAAATCTCCCCCCCACACCTGGGTCTTATTAGGAATGCCTCCTCCAATATTTGGCATTGATTACCTGTTTTCAACCAAACCCATCTTCAAAGTATAAAACTTCCCTGCTCAGATCCCATTCTGAGCATGTACTTCTACCAAGATTTTTCCATTGTACTTATCTCCCTCACATGAGTGAATCTGACCTGGAGTGGCTGAATTTCTTCGTGTTGCCACACAGTGTATTTTTCTTTAGTTTTTGCCTCCTTGCTGAGTTGCACAGTAAGTAATAAAGCTCATGCTTACACTAGCTTTCAGAGTACTAATCTTCTGTAAATTCTCAAACCCAAGTCCTTGCTCTGATCTGAGCTATGAAGTCAAATTAGGCATATAAGATCCAGGAATGAAAGTAATATAGTTCATAGCTTGCACTTCTCTTCAGTGTAAGTGGGAATGTTGGTTAATAATCAGGAATAGAGTACATATGGCCTGTAGGGAATGATGTCAACCACAGTGAAAATAGTAGATGGCAAAAAGGCAAGAAATGCCACAGTACCATTGCTACTTACCATTTTAAATCCAAAGATATTAAATTTTTACTGAATGAGGCCACACAGCAGCAGCCCTGGGAAATAGTATTCACATTTACAGATGGGAGAAGTAAGGAGTTACGTTAAAGTGAAAATCACTCACAGAGGCTGGAATAGAAGGGCATACTAACAAGTATCACCTCTGACACTTATAAACTGCAAGCTCATGAGTAAGGCACTTCAATTTTTTGAGCCTCAGTCTTGTCATCCATTAAACAGGGATAACAATTCTTACACTCTTTACCACACAGGGTTCTGAGGAAAGCATTTTTAAGAACTACAGAATTATAAAAACATCTGATCAGATCTCTCAACACCCCAGGCTTTCACCTTCAATGAGTGTATTTTTGCAAAGTACTTTGCTGAAAATGCTATGTGGTCAATTATTATCAATACTACGTTCCTTCTAGCCTACAGAGAAAAAACTGCAACGGAGAAATAAAGAGAAAAAAGTAATAATTTAAAGGGGAATATTGAGGAGTGAACAATAAGCTACAACTATGGTTCCTATACCTTCAAAAGGCCTATATTATGTTGCAAGTCAAAGTCTTAAATCAATAGCCAGTTGACAACTCAGATTTTTAATAACAAAGTATATCATTGTGAGAAAATATTACATAGGAATATGAGATGGGGACCTGGCTGTTATTCCTAGCATGCAGTTGGGCAACAATTTCAAAAAGACAACTTGATTTGTATTCCCAGCACTATTCCACCCCCTTCCCATCAAAGGGAGGGAATGCTGTCACTGATGAAATGTGCAGTTTAGAGGCTACAGAAGTTCTAGGCACAAAGGGCTCTTGTAACTTAACCCTAGCTCACTATGGATATTGTCTTTTTTTTTGTTTGTTTGTTTGTTTGTTTTTGCTTTTTAGTGAGGCAATTGGGGTTAAGTGACTTGCCCAGGGTCACACAGCTAATAAGTGTCATGTATCTGAGACTGGATTTGAATTCACGTCCTCCCAACTTCAAGGCTGGAGCTCTATCCACTGCGCCACCCAGCTGCCCCTCACTATGGATATTGTCAATATATATTTCTTTTCTCAGAGATAAAAACAGTGATGGCAATTTAAGGAACACAGATTCCCACAAAAGATTTTTTAAAATGCCATTTCCAAAAAGAAGCCGCAATTTCTGAACTGTTACGTCACACTGGAGCAGGGAAATAGTTGTTCACCACATGGGAAAGCATATTTCTTTCTGGTCATAATGCTCTGACACACTGTATTTCTGAAAAAACACACATACACAATTATAAAGGAAGAAATAAAACAATATAAAACTCTTCCAAACTAGAAGCCTTAGTACTCTTCAACTGCTGGGCTTGGCTTCAAATGCAGGTTTTAAATTTAGGACTCAGGTGCTTCATGTAAAAACAATTATTACAAAGTATGTAGGGCTTAGGGAAAGGAAAAACAAAGATGTGTAGGAAGACTGAATGCTTCACATTTCCTTGGAGATAAAGAGGAGAGGGCAATTCTTAAAGTGGAAAACTGAAGTAATTATGAACAATTTGCTAGCTTCCCATTCCTCAGTCAAGAGAAAGATGTGGCTAGAGTTTGGGGGCTGGATAGGACCTCAAAGGTTACCTCAACCCTTGCTTTTACAATGAACTGCACTGAACAGATTCCTAATCATAAAGCTCTCCAGAGAAGATAATTTCACAATCTCTTTTAGCGCTAAGTTTCAGTGTCCAACAATCAATAAAGTCTTTATTCTAGACAACTAATCTCCTTTCTTCAGAAACTGGAGCCCACTGCCCACTGTTTAGCCTTTTACTGGAAGGAATGAAATTTATCATCACTCATAATAATAACCTTTTAGTATAAATATGGCTGTGACTCCCCCTCCTCTCCCGAGCCCCATTCACTAACCCTTTTCTCATGTACTTCACACTAGGGATTTCACTGTATCTGTTGTCTGTTCCTAGACAGGCAGGGACCTACTGTCCAGGTGTTATTGTATCCTTTTAACCAGAAAGAAAATTTCTAATTTAACGGGAAAGAAAAGTCTCTAACAAATAGCTCATAGGCTCAGAGGCAAAGTTTTCTCTAATCTTTTAAAGTCTTATTCAGGTCAACAAACATTTATTGAATGCCTACTTACATTCCGCTTAAAGGGATTCAAAAGTATACAAGTAAATAATTTCACAGTTTCATAAATTTAGAGATGGAAAGGATTCAGAGGTCATGCAGTCTAACCTATGCATTTTACATTTGAAGAAACTGAAGGTAGCGAGGTGGAATTCTTTGCTTAAGGTCACACAAGTGGCAGTACAAAGTATGGACAAAGATGAAAACTGGATCTTCCATAAGTTGCCAAAATCATCTTTCTTTCTAAAGCCCAGGTCTAACATTATTACTTTGCTGATCACAAACTTTCTGTGGCTGCCCATTATTCCTGGAATAAAAGAGATCCCCAGCCTAGCCACTTAAGATCCTCCAGAGTTTCCTCCAACTTAGCTTTCCCATTTTATTTCATACTACTTCCCTTAATGCATTCCGTGTCTGGCCAAATTCAACTTTGAGTTTTTCTTGAGCTCAACACTCTAAAATCCCACTGATGTGCATTTGTACAAGCCTCCTGGCTTCCCTGAAGCCCCAGCCAAAATCTCACCTTCTAGAGGAAGCTCTTTCCCAAACCCTCTTAATTATTTCCTATTTATTCTGTATAGAGCTCATTTGTACATATTTATTTGCTTGTGGTCTTCCCCATTAAACTATGAGCTCCAAGAGGACTGGGAATATCTTTTGTATCACCAGCACTTAGCACAGTGCCTGGCACAAAGTAGGTGCTTAACAACATTGTTGATAACCAACTTTGATAGACTTAGCACTTCTCAGCAATACAATGATCTAAAACAATTATAAAAGACTCATGGCAGAAAATGCTATCTATATCCAGAGAAAAAACTATGGAGTCTGAATGCAGACTGAAGCATTTATTTTCTGTTTTGTTTTTTTCTTTGTTGTGGTTTTTCCCTTTTGCTCTGATTCTTCTTTCATTACATGACTGATGTGGAAATATGTTTAATATGATTGCACATGTATAACCTATATTGCTTGATGTCCTGGGAAGAGGGAGGGAAGGAGAAAAAAATTTGGAACTCAGAATCTTATAAAAGTGAATGCTGGGGTCATTGATGGTGCAGTGGATACAGCACTGGCACTAGAGTCAGAATCCAGCCTCAGACATTTAACACTAGCTGTGTGACTCTGGGCAAGTCGCTTAACCCCAATTGCCTTATTAAAAAAAAAAAAAGTGAATGCCGAAAACTTTCTTTATATGCAATTGGAAAAAATAAAATACTACTATTCAGTGAGGGTGAAGGAATCCAAAGTAGTACTTAATAGATGCTTCTTGATTAGACTCCACATGGAGTTCTTTAAGGGCCAGGATA